TGGATGTCGGATAATATAATTGGGGCGTTTCTTTCAATAAAAATAATATCTTTTAATAAAACCTTATTAACATGACGCATTAACCATGAATAACCGCTGATAAAATGAGTCAGGCACGGAGTCGATGGTAAGGTCACGTGGGTAAAGGGTGACACAGTTCGCGAGATTGTTCTCAACATAGACTGGAAACACTAAGTTGGGATGGACTCCCAGCACCTTTATTTCGAATAATCCAAGACACCCCTCAAGTCTGTTTAGCTTTCTTAAAAAAACCAGTTTCCCTCCAATTGCCTTACTACTTAATTCGAATGAGTATTAGCACAGCCACAATAGATGAAGTCGTTCAAAACTCATTGCATTGCTTCCAACAAGAATCCCGAAAAAAAAATATTTCGACTCCATAACCATCAACCTACAAATCAACACCACTGCGTTCTACTGGAACACCCCATCGATTTTTTGATGGCAAAACATACACTCTTGGTGAAAGGTAGGAAAGCAGCGAAAGGAACCCTTGAAGTTTCGCTCACATGATTTCAGAACAAGTGAGAAACGCGATCCCATAGGGGATTCAACATGCACATGGAGGTAAATTGAGCTAAAGTATTGAATTTCCAATCTTCCAACTACTAATTCGAAATTGAATGCGTTAAATTTAGTGCTTCTACGGAAACTGCACTAACTACTAAAAGCACGTGCAACACAAATAGCAGGAACTCTGTTAATGTTATGAATCTATTTATGAAGGATTCCACAGTCAGCCCATTTCTTCATCAACTTACTTATATCGATTTGTGCTATATCGTTACATTTTTATGAAAATAATAAGCCTCAAATTTTTTTTTTTGGCGGAACCACACAAACCCACCCTTGACGGAATTGGAGCACACCTTTGTCCAAGGAAAATTGAAGAAGAGTCAGCAATAATCAAATCTATCACTATGTTGTGGACAAAAAAGTTAATAAAATATAAATCAACTGAACAGACAGTGTAAAATACCTTGTAAAGAGGTGTGAGGCCTTGACTTTTTGCAATCGCCTTTACAGATTTCAACATCTTGTCACGGTTGCGAAGCGTAATAGTATTGATGCTCTTAGCGGGCCTTCCTGCTTTGCCTGCAAAACACACTATCAAAGAGCGGTTGAAAAATCACTGCTATACAAAAGTATAAGGCCGAGAGACCCTCGACGTAATCAAAATTGATAACATCATCACACAGAGATATTATCAAGCGAATTCAGAGATGAAAAACCACTTCCCTACTCACATAGCCCCTTGACGCGTAGTAAGAAGATGTACGAGTGGAGATTGAAAATGGGTAACGCAGAAGATCATTTGCGTTCTGCTTGAATATTCAAAACATCGCCTCAAAATTATTATTCGAAAAATTCCCCGGTTGAGGGCGCATGCATTGGTCGTCCGATCGTGACGATCGCACAGCATTAAATACGTATCGATCGTCTGACGTGCGACACATGCCATAGTTACGATTGTAACGACCGGTACGATCGTAACGATTGCATGTGCCGGTCTGGCGATCGATACGCATCTGCCACTACGTACTGGAATAATCCGACTTTCGAAATACCGTGAAGTGCAATCACGTGTTACTGTGGCGGTGTCGCCTTCTCTATGCGACTACGGCTTATGCGATCGCTACGATCTTAGCGATCGTTAAGAGTGTATTGCTGAGTAGGAGTTCTCGAAATAATTGTGGGAAAAGCCTAGGATAACCAATGCAAATTTCGAGAAAAGATCCTTTTCGACCGATAATAATTCGAAGCTCAACTTAAGGAGGAACGTGGAATAACAGACACATTGCTCTGCTATTCCTTAGTTAAGCCCTGCAGCATAAACCTAGTTGTCCTCAGCTTCACTGGGCCAAAAAGGATCTGTTGGGCAAGAACTTGCCACAGTGCTTGTTGCCTAATACAACCGATCAGCCTAAGACCACAACTGGTCTGTCTGGACGTTTACCAAGCAGATTTTTGGAAAATATTGTTCACGAACATAGAACCTCTCTCCAGCAGCCGTCACTTTAGCGTGCTTTTACTCGGGCGCAGCATGGGTCGGTCCGTCCGACAGCAACGATCGTAAATGTCGCACAGCATTCGACGATATCGATCGTCAGACCTACCTGAGTATTCGACGTTACATCACGGTATCGTTACGGTCGGACGACTGACTATGCACGCGCCCACTGAACGGAGGATTTTCGCTGCTGATGACTATCTCAGTCCTTATCGCTGCTCCCAGTTCAGAAATATCAGAGGAAAAGAGAAGGAAAAACTACCTGGAACTTTCAATGAGACGACAACACCTTTGCCATCTTTTGCGGGTGCGATATTCATCGCCTTTTTACTGATCAGTCCATTGAACCGTTTACTGTTGATGCCACGAAGGTTGAATGGTTCCACGGAGAAATGCTTCTTGATCCCTTTCTGCCGCCGAAGGAAACAGTTATTCTTACGAATGATTTGCCAGGTGAGATCGGCAGACATATTACCTGTAACATTACATGGATGACATTTGCATGACATACAATAAATTCATCATCAGATTCATCGCATAAGGTAACTTTTAACGAAAACGAGAAAAAGAAACAAACAGCGAAAATTTGGAATTACTGTTCTCATTACGCCCGCAATCGCTCCATAGGACGATTTTCACGACGCACTGAAACATGAAGAGCAAATAGTGACAATAGTGAGATATGGCCACAATATATCTTAAAAATGGAAACATTTTGAACTTGAAGCTGGGGACGGATGATTCCGAAAAAATTTGCGATCCAGCGGATTCGAGTCTGTGCCAAAGCCTCAAGGGGAAGGAATTCCGCAGTGGGCGAACCATTTTCCTTGTGCAAGAAGAGGACTAATGGAGGATGAAAATGCGAGTGTTCATTCATTTAGAATTTATTGTGTTTTGTGCCACTGATGAATACTCATACAGTTTTCTTGGTCTCACTCGGTAAAGTGGAGGGGTTGGGGGGGTCGACGGACTACTTGAACTCAGCCCTTTACCGCCTCTGCGCTCTCTCGCGGGTCCCTCTCCTCTCCAAGGCTTAGTCCTAGGGCATTCACCCGTTCTCTAATCGTCTGTGCTCTAGCCATCGCGGCAGGACCATTGAGGAAAAATCAAGTAGTCCGTAAACCGTTGGGGGAGGGGGAGGGCATGTGATGCGACGGTTACCATCGCTGGTGTGGTTCCTAGAGAAGGAAGCGACTTTTTCGCATTTCGCACCGCGAAACCTTTTTTAGCTGCGGAGTCTCCAACTCCACCACTGATGAGGATTGGACCTGAGGTTCTTGCTGCAAAAAAAACTTTTGCGTGCAGAAATCGGAAATTTTGCTTTCTGCCCTAGCAAACCACACCCAGCCATCACCTCCACGGAATTCACCTTTGCAAGGAGACAAAGATCTTCGTGATGTGGTTCACTAGGACAAGAAGCGACTTTTTCGCGTTTCACAGCGCGAAACTTTTTCACTTCGGGAACCCCAGGTTCGCTCATGACCAGCGGTGGACCTGACGATCCCGCAGCGAAAAATGTTTCGCGCTGCAAACGCGAAAAAGCCGCCTTTCTGTCCTAGTAGCTGCGTCCCTGCGAAAACTGACTGCTCTAGGCGATGTGAGCTGTCGCATCACACGCCCCTCCCCTCACTGATTGTGAGAAAGAACCCACTTTTCTTCCCCCTGATTTCTTCCATCAGATGTAGGTGCCTTTGAAGGGAACTTGTTGACGAAAGTCTCAACGTTCTCGTTCTTGTCACAAGCAAGAGCTTCGGTGGATTGTTGATAATATTTTGGCATCAACTACCCTCACAAAACTGAAGGATTGAGGTACACTCTGTATCGGAGGACGGGAAGAAAATCGGCGGCACACAACACACCGTAAGTGACGGCGGCGATGAAAAAAATTGACAGTTGACCACTGACGAGGACATCGATCGATCGCTGTTGTATTCTACTGATTATCAGATAATCAGTAGAATACAACAGCGATCGATCGATGTCCTCGTCAGTGGTCAACTGTCAATTTTTTTCATCGCCGCCGTCACTTACGGTGTGTTGTGTGCCGCCGATTTTCTTCCCGTCCTCCGATACAGAGTGTATGAGAAACACATTAAACATACATGCGTAGTGGTTACACCTTCGAGGGAATGTGCTAACTCATTTTTCAAAGGATGAAACACTTGGTTCGCTAATCGGAACTGTAACTCGTTGAAATTTCTTCTACCCTCGTTCTCAATACCAAGCAAAGCACACAGGACTGGAAACCCTAAAAAACTGCGAAATTCTATGTAAGTCTTGCTAAATTTTTCTAGCTAAGCATTCAAGGCTAGATGCGTGCTGAACTACTCTAGATTTCCACAAGGACCATATAAGACGCGGTGAGGAAACCCCCCCCCCTCGCCCCCCCACCCCCCCCCCCCCCCCCCCCCCCCCCCCCCCTCGTCCGAAAACTCCTCCTAGGTTTTTGCGGTGTAGGTTTAGCGACGAGTAAGCGTAATGATTTTCGTCTCTACTGTAGGAGCAAAGAAACGGTTTTGTCTGATAATCGCTAATCGATAAGTTTAATAACAAAAAAAGGTCGCACAAAATTAAACCGAAAAGGAGAAAAACGTTGCCGAGCATGATCAAAATAAAGCATCCACGATTCGTGAAAAATCCTAAAGTTAGTAAATTGAACTATGTTTCAACAATCAAACCTGTGCAACATTGAAGCGTTAAGAAAATCGAATGGAAAACCAAACCAAATATTCGTGCAACATTGAGAAATAAAGCAAAAAGGCTATTATGAGTTTTGAATCAATAGTAACTTACCCGTCGAGCCCAAGGCAATTAGAGAAACCCATCACAGCTCTTCAGAAATAACTTGAATAAAAAATAAGTCAAAATGCGTAGGGCAATTTGTACACTCAAGCAGTTTTGCTGTAAAACATTCAGAAGCATTGGCGCTTGTAAACGGCCCACACACGTAATCATTCCTGAGTGACATAGATGCCACATCCACATGAACTAGTAACCACTCTATTTGTCAAAAGGACGATCGTTGCTGATTTAACGTAAACTACTGGTACTGGGGAATGACAGCACATGAAAACCCAGGTCTGAAATTGAATTCGATTAAAAAATTATCCTAAAAGTGGACAGCTACCAATCGATTGGTACGAATCACCGTAGTGCCAATGTCGCGTCGAGCCATTTCTTACACATGCGCAAAAAGAAGACCTCGAGCGAAGGATACGTAACACACACATTTAACGTAAAAGCATGCGGATAACGACGTTACATAGAAGCAGATGGAGGAAGCGGCTTTGCTTGTTGCCTCTAGAATATCTGGTTGGCATACGTAAGGTAGCTTAGAGCTGAATAGTGTTGTAGTTACAGATATAGTTGTATTTGTAATTATGAATTGATTCGTCGAAAAAAATGTGATCTTATTTTATTCGAGAAGGTGAAACTCCAGTTCGGGGGGGGGGGCACTCCCTGCTATCTTATCCGTAGTACTAGAGAGCACTCCTTTGGGCTTAACACTATGGATAAGATAATAGGTAAACGACTCATTTCAAGTGCACTTTTGATAAGGACCGGTGTATGCTTTATATCATACTCATCCTGCTCACATCATAGGCCATTCATGGCATGTGATCTTTCACGCTAACAATAAGGCCGATGTCAGACTTTGCGAATCGCGCGATTCGCTAGCGTCTGCGGTCGCGTCGCGGCCAGTGAATCACTCAATTGGCTGGTACCGCAACGCGACCGCGGACGCTAGCGAATCGCGCGATTCGCAAAGTCTGACATCGGCCGAAGGCTCTACACCATTGCTTCCAGGCAAGGATGGCCATACCCTAGTTCAGGACCATTTCCTTGGACCACAGCAGGCCGAAATCTGAAAGCACCTCAGGAGTACTTCCACACTACACCGGTCCTTATCAGAAGTAATTTTAAATGAATCGATTACGTGTCATGAAAACTCTTATCCTTATCCTTAGTATTGGAGAGCACAATGGAGTGCCCCTCCCATAAATGGATTTTTACGGCTCGAGATTCCTTCTTTTTCAACAATGAACCATAGCAAATGCTCAGTCAATTACTGACTTTGACAGGGCTCATTATGCCAAAGTAGAAATAATTCGGAACGACGTTCTGTAGACTAGGGCTAGCGTTCATGCTCGGCCTTTGTTTGAGGACCTTTAGATGTTTTGGCGCAGAACAAGGCCAGCGTGGGTTGAAAGGCTCACTCCTGGACACTTGGTGGTCAGGTGGATACGGCGACCACTCTCTTCCACGCCCCTTCCACGATTTTTTCTCTGTGTTGCACGACTGTTGATTTAGAATAAGAAACTGTGAGCAGAAGTGATGAGGGTTCTAGCTCAACTAGCTTCGGGGTGAGACTAAAATGCGAAAATCCTTTCCGCTGAAGATATTTTCGCATTATCAACTCTTTCGCCCTGAATTTTTCCCGTGAAAAATTTTCTTCTTGCTATTGTTTATTACTTGTGAGCATATAAATATCATTATGGCGAAATTTGGAAGCTATTCGATCACAAACAAAGAAACTAAGAAGCTTTGAAAATTGGCCACCTTCTTAGTTTTTAAGCTTATGTCGAAAAAAATTCCAAATTTCTTAGTTATGTCGAAAAAATTTATAATCTTGCACAACATTATATCTAGTGTTTTTAATGTTTAATAACAAAATGATTATATGGCAAGTATTTCAGGAATGATCGACACTTATCAAGTGCTTGTAAAGCTAATAGCAACACACAATAAAATGGCGGGTTCAAGATATAATTAGGAGGGGGAAGGTCGTTTGAAATATCTAGCAGTGGGTGGTAGAAATATGCTGTTGCACCGGTAATGCATTTGAATTTGATGGTGGCCATTGTCACCACCGAGGTCGAAGGAGTTAAAGCAACAGTCCCAGCAGGGTGGGCGTGGTCGGAAACGACTGCAATCCCCTCGGCCGATTCCCACTTCGGAGCTGTTCAGCCCCTAGTCAAGAACGTAAGAAGTGTGACTGAACAAAGACTCTGGAAAGCCGCTAGGGAGGGAGCTTAAGTGGA